GTACAGTGGGATATTTCAATACATGCATATAATGTATAATGATCATATTAGGGTAATTAGCATATCACTTCAAACATTTATCATTTCTTTGCATTGGGAACACATTTTTAGCTATTTGAAAATGTATCGTAAATTGTTGTTAATTATAGTAACCCTATGGTGCTATAGAACACTAGAACTTATTCGTCCTATTATGAATGCTAGAATTTTATGTGATCATTTACTATAGCTAAGAAGTGGGCTTAAAGAAAACTTACTAAAACTCTGCTTCATCCAGCCCTTGTACTTGGCGTTATAAGTTTTACAAAATTACATTCAATTGTATCTAATGATTTTTGACATTTTCGTCATAGTGATATTCTCTCACCCCTACCCTGGTGTCTGTCTGTCTGTCTCCAATAAACTCTACTTGGTGGATATATCAAAAGTGACACTATTTGCCATACTGGCAAATAAAAATCTACTACTTAACACTCAAATACATTAGGAACCAGAACTTCCATTTATCTATTTCAATAAATTTAGGGCATACAGGTGCAGTTTTGTTACCTGGATACAAAACACTTTTAATTATTCAAAGAACGATCAGATTCATTATTTTAGTATCTAGGTCTTTGTATGAATATATTTTTTGCATTAAGTAGGCTGCCTCTTTCTAGGAAACGTACTTAATACCATTTTTGTTTTTATATGGTCTACTTATATAAAAATCTTAACACTTCTGTTATACAGTGATACAGTAACTTCATTTATGATTATCTGGGCTTCACATTAAAGAATAGAAGTGAATTTACATTAATTAGAATAGAAAATAAAGGACTTTGGGAAGATGAATAACATATAAACACCAAGTAGGACATAATGGGAAGGTCTTTTTCCTCCAGCTCTAGCTAGTTGTGTTGAGGCCAAATCAGTGAGAACAGAGAATGAGGACAAGTGGTTTGAGGAAAAGGAGAGAGAAGTTTATTAATTTGCCAGCAAATGAGGCAGGTGGCAGACCAGCATCTCAAAAGACCATCATTCTGCCTTTAAGCAGAAGTACAGGGCTTTTTAAAGGGGCGGGCGGCCGAAGTGGGGGGGTTCGGTGGTTGGGCTCCTGGGCTCTGGTCTATGTGACCAGTGTCACATGTTATGGCTTCGGGCTATTGTTCAGCTATAGTTGGTGGTTTCAGTAGACCTTATCTCCAGTGAAGACTGATCTCATGACCTTCATCCAGACAATTACGTTGAGCCATCTGTGGTTTAAGATGCTAGAAAACAAACAACAAAGAACATTTTCCTGCCCCTTTGATTACTGGCCTTGGGCAGGAATGCAGGTTTTAATTCCCGAAAAGGGCTGGGGGTTTTAGAGAGACAAATTGAAAAACATTTTGCTCTTTTTTCAGACCTTTACCTCTTATTACACCAGCAGTTTTTAATTATGAAAGGAGTACTTTTTCTATGTATTTCCCTTTTACTCTTTAATTAATTTGTGAGCATGTCAATTTCATATTTAGTTGTTAATTGAAAAAAGTACCAAGAGGATTGAGTATTTCTAAAATTAAATTTTTAATGAAAATCATTAAAGTAGATTGCAGATTAAGTGTTTAAAAATTCAGTCAAGTTTTATTAGAAAGGACAAAACCATTGGGATTTTAAAAGATGGCTCAAATTAGAGCAAGAATAATTTTTAAAGTGTATAACTTTCATTTTATGTTTTGTGATGACAGCTTTCCCAAGAAAAAAACTGTAGCAGCAATTGTTGATTTAATCACGTGTGGTTAATCTTTAAATGCAAATATAACTAATTATTAATAATATGCAAACATAAATGACACATTCCCTTGTGCTCATTAAACTACACACATGTAATATTTAGATATATTGATTATATTATGTATGTTTACAGTGTGTGGCTATAAAATTATTTAGATAATAGGAATTCCATGAAATAGAATAAGGATTTTTAATACTTACGGAAATTTTCATTACAAAAGTAGAAATGATACAATGAAGTTTCATACCCTCATCAACCAGCTTCAGAATTGTCAACTTTCTGCAGTTTCAAAGGTAATTTTTGGTTAGAAATACTTGGTTAAATTCAAAGGTATAGTTTGGTCTATTTACACCTTACAAAGTCTGTTTTGGAGCCTGTACAGTTTTGCTTGTTGGGAAGAACTCCCAGGGCGGGGCCTTTAAGATGTTTATCTTATTGTGCTTCTGTTAAAAAGTCACATTTATGGAAATCATCAGCTTAAACTGACTTAAGTCCGTTTTTAGAACAAGATCAAGATACCAAATAATAATAAAAATAGAGGTACAGATAAGCCCCATGACTTGGATAAACTATGTATTACCATTTCTGGGAAAAATACATCTCCTTTAGATAAGTTATTTTTTTTGAATTTTATAAATAAAGGTGTTACCCTGGGATTAATAGAGAATAGTCAGTTAAGATTCCCACATAATACTGTTTTCCAATTTTAGGAAAAAAATGCTCTTAATCAAGATTTTCAGTTCGTTTATTGAGTGTTGGGTAGTAGAGCGATGTTAGTGTTCTCCCACGAGGGGAGGGGAGGGGCTTTCGTTTGTTTGAAACCTTCAGCTCCCTGCAGTGTTGTGGGGCAGTTAAAATAGATGTCACTATTTGCTATCAGATCACAAATGTAAAAGTTTTCAGATCTTCACTTAAAAACTGTATTTTTCAACATAATTTAAACTATTTTTCTAATGTGTACCCCTTTAATCTGTACAGACTAGAAGCAGCATATTTGCCAAAGGGGAAGAGAATGCTGTAGTTTGGAGCAGAAACCAAAAATCTGTGAACAGAATTGCTTGGGGCTATTTAGTGTGGAAACAAGAGCCTGCTGAAATACGTATATGTTTTCCTCAGCATTTTGGATGAGTGTAATTGTCATTTTAAAGGCACCTTTAGATCATTAAAGAATAAGTTATGCTTATAATACTCTTTAGGAAATCAGGGAAGATCAATATGCTTTTGCTAAAGCGTTCCTTAACAAAGTTTAAAGACAAAAGCATTTGATACTTATTTATTTACAACATTGTCACATAAGAAACTTTATCAAGATTTTCTGATATCACTGGTTACATTTATTTATTTTATAAACAATTATTAATTGATTGCAGGCCAGTTGTGTGCTAGAAATTGATGTAGGCTGTGAATACACACCTTTGGAGTAGATCAAACCGTCACTGAACTTACGTTCCTCGTGGAGCAGACAAGATTGAGATAATGGGTCAATATTGTTTTATTCAGATGTTAGTGTGCTGAGTGTGGTAAGAATGGGTGCTGGGCTGCTCTGACTTTGGAGTCAAAAGGAGGTGACATTTGAGGTCAGGGTGGCCGTGAAAGATTTCTGCAGTGTAGAGATACCCCAAATGCCCTGTCATGGGAACAGGCTTGGTGCAGGGGAAGGCATGGACTATGGTATAGTAAAGTATAGTAAGTAATAAGCAAAATATAGCATAGTAAGTATAGCAAATAGTATAGGACCTTGTATTTAAAGATAAGAAGTTTGGATTTTCTTCTTGAGATTGTGGAGATGAAGAGCAGAGGTGTGAGATGATCTGACGTAATGTTCGCGAAGATCTCTGTAGAAGCTGTGTGGAGAATGGACAGTAGGCATGCAAAGATAGAAGTAGAAATCTACTTGTGGTCCTGGGAAGAGACAGTGGTGGGCTAATGACAGCTCATACTGGATTTTAGCAGGGCAGATGGTGAACTTGGTCAGTTTTGGAGGATGCAGTTTGGAAATAGGTGCTGGAAGAAAGATGGATGTGAAGACAAGAGAGGAGTCAAGAATGATGACTGCAAGGTGGTTGGCCTAAATGTTTGAATACTAATTTTGGAAAAGCAGCTTTTGGGGGAGAAATTAAGGTTCTGTTTGGGACATTCTAAACGCGAGGTAGCTATCACACATTCAAGTGGCTACATTGAATAGGCATTCAGATGAGTGGATGTCTTGATGAGAGATTAGGTCTGGGTCGTTGCTTTGGAAATCATCAGTTTATAGATTAAATTTAAAATCATAAACTGAGATTACTTGGGAATAGAGAAGATGGCTAAAGCCAGGCTCCTGGAAATGATAACATTTAGAGGTCAGGTAGAGGAATAGGGTTGGGGGAAAATCCAAAGGAGACCCAGAAAACGAGTAGTAAGTTAAGTGGAGAAAACTAAGAGGCCAAGGACAGGAAACCTAAAGAAGATAGCGATGTAATGAAAAAGGAGTAATCAAATGCTGCCAAGAAGTGAAATTAGGATAAGGACAGATACAGTTTAGGTAATAAGGGGGAGTCAGATTGCTTTTAGATTCTTTTCTTTGGACTTTCAGGGACCAAATGTTGGAGAGTGGGGAAGAGGGTGAGAAAGTGGAGGTGGAGTATATAGACAACTCTAAAAGGAGATTTTCTGTAATGGAAGAGCAAAATGTAGATAATAGCTGGAGGGGCATGTGAAGTTAAGAGAGGAGCATCCCCCACGCAAGAGGTGCTATACAAAGATGTGTTTATATATTGGTGGGCGTGATTGAGTAGAGAGGGAGAAGTGGGTGGTAATGTGGGGGAAGGAGGTAAGCTTGCAGGCACGCAGGGTCTCTTGTAGGCGAAGGAAGGAGATTTAGGGTGGAAGTAAAGAGGCCGAGGCCAAGACCCTTCTGTTCTAACAGGAAACAAGGCAGAGCCTGTTACTTCATTTGAGACCAAATACTTTTAGACTCATCACTTGTGACATCATCCCTTCCTATGAAGAACTGGGATTCAACCTGTTAAAGAAGAAATGTACACTTAATGATGTATATTCAAGATTTGCTCCTGCCTGCTGGAGTTCAGTGAGAGTTAGCTGGAGTGTTTGGAGGATGAGCCTGAGGATAAGGACCTCTAACATAGGCTGGTGGCAGTGGGAAGAGCAAGGAAAAAGTGTACCCCAGAGAGTTGTTGGATTTAGTAAACAGGGGAAAGAAACGTGGATGTGGGTTGATTCCAGTGTTTCATAGGTTGGAAAATATTAGCCCCTTTGACCAAAATGGAGGCGCTGTTGAAATAATCACTTTTGTAGCAAGCTTTTTCTATTTACTAGTTGCTTCAAAAGACAGAATAGTCATTCTCTGATATGCATTTCTGTGTTTTGGAGAAAATTTAATTGGCTTAATACAATCGGATGCTGCTTTTTTTTTTTTTTTTTTGAGACAGAGTCTCACTCTGTTGCCCTGGCTAGAGTGAGTGCCGTGGCGTCAGCCTAGCTCACAGCAACCTCAAACTCCTGGGCTCAAGTGATCCTACTGCCCCAGCCTCCCGAGTAGCTGGGACTACAGGCATGCGCCACCATGCCCGGCTAATTTTTTCTATATATTTTTAGTTGTCCGATTAATTTGTTTCTAATTTTAGTAGAGGCGGGGTCTCGCTCTTGCTCAGGCTGGTCTCGAACTCCTGAGCTCAAACAATCTGCCCGCCTCGGCCTCCCGGAGTGCTAGGATTACAGGCGCGAGCCACCGCGCCCGGCCCAATCGGATGCTTCTTGAAGATGCTGTTCTTGAGGTCATTTTGAATATTTAAACATTATTCATGTTTTCCATAATTTTTATAATATAATTTTTTCCTCTAGGATGAGTCAGCTGGAATACCACATCTTTAGGGTTCTAAAGCTTCCATTTAGTCATTGGTAATAAAAATACTTAGTTAATAAAAACCTACTTTTGTCTGAAATGCTGTACTGTTGAGTAACGTTAATGTTGAGCCGTGAATGATGTTATCACTTTTTAAATGAATAGGTTTTCCTTTCTAAGTTTTAGGCTCCTACTCATTCTCTATTTACTTTGGGGAGCATATATTTGTCCACATGCCATTTACAAAGTATAATATACATGCAATGTTTTTCCCCATAAAACAAGCAGAGAGAAGTTGACATCTTATTAGATGTTTTTTCTGGCATATCTTTACCAGATTTTATTTTGTTTAATTTTGTTAACCTAGGTACCAAAAATATTCATCTCGAGTCTAATAAATGATGGTGACAAGCCACGTAAAATAATCTTACTGGACTACATGGCTCATTTAAGTTTTTAAACTATTAGTGTGTTTTTAGTGACAGTTGTTGAACTCACGTCTTTATCTCTTTTGCAGGTTAATGTGTGAAACTGTAAGATATGAAAGACACGAAGCAAATGAAGTTTTATACTAGTAGGTGTCTCCTTTCTATTGTTCGTTTCCTTAAGGTATCAAAGGAGTGTTAGTAACAGCTGGTTAAGTTTGTGTTAACTTATTTTTGTGTTACTTTTCATAGTTTAGAAATGTGAAACATTTGGACTGTTTCCTGTCATAAGTAGTAACAGTCCTTTCCTGATAAGTTCAAATTTGTATTTTATCTCTCACATGTAGGTCAGAAATACCATTTCACATTAATAGAGTATTTTGACATTTTTATTATTATGCAATAAGCAATGGTATACAGTCTTTCCAACAGAACAAAATATACATTCCCACAACCATACCAGATGAAATGCAAAGATAGCATAAAGACCATATTTTAGTTTATACTTATTTTCAGAAATAGGAAAATAAAACTGTCCACATCTGCTTGGGTATAGTTTCATCTCTAAATAATATTGACATTCCTTACAAGATGTGTAACATATTCCTTAAAAAAATGATAGTGAATTTTTAGAGAATGTGAGAAATATACAGTAGATAAATAATGGCATATTAAGGGTATATAATCTGTGATTTACTAGACATATTATTTTGTTGATGTTTGCCATGACTGTTCTGTTGACTTTGCCTTCTGTTTTTCGAAGCATTTATTAAATAATTACTAACTTCCAGGCATATTATAGGGAATATTTATTGAAATGAAAAAAACATAGCTTCTGCCCTTAAGGAATCCGTAATCTGTTGCTGGAGGTAGAAATAGAATAAAAGTAAAACAACAACAATAACAAACTATTATAACAAACCAGAATAATCATGAGAATATAGACATGTGCAAAGTGTTGAAGATGTGCACGGGAACACTCGAGGGAAGGAGGGAGAGCCTTAGAGAAGTGGCCCTTTGAACTAGGTCTCAAAGGTGTGTCCAGGAGTCTAGAGAGGCTATTGGCAGAAAAGGGACACAGGTGAATGGGCCCAGCCAGTGATGTGGGTGGGGTGATGGATCCAGAGAAGAGACGGGCCACAGTCACACTTGCTCATGAACGAGTTGCTTAAAAAAGAGGCTCCATTCTTTAGTCAACTAGACCTGAGTTTTTTCCCCTCCTAAATAACATTTATGTTGTGGAAAATTACAGACACTCACAATATTAGAGACAGTGGTATAGTGAACCCCCAAATACTCATCATCCAACATGGTGAACTTACGGTCGGGCAACTGTTCTTCATCTTTCATTCTTCCTCTCCTGACTCCAGCTGGATTATTTTGAAGTACATCCCAGACATCGTATCAATTCATCCATAATTATTTTGACATATAGCTTTAAACAATAATGACTTTTCAAAATCTTAAATACATTGTTGTCACCAAGTCTTAACTCTTTAATATCATAAAAGTATTCAAATTTGTCTCAGAATTTTTTTTTTACAGCTTATTCGGATCAAGATCTAAATAAAACTCTTCCGTTTGGATTGTTGCTTTCTTTCTTAAGCCTGTTAATAGTAGGTTGGCGGCTGATTTTCAAGCAGCAAAATGACGTGATCAAATGCCTCCCAACCCAACTCATCCCCTCAAAGATAATTCCTGCGGCTGTATGAAAATAGGAAGGGTGGGCTAGATTGAGTGCCCAGGCCGGAACTCTGAGGAGACGGTTGGGGCAGTCTGAGGTGGCGAGTGCTTGACCTGAGGCAAAGGCAAGGGGCTGGAGGAGCCAGGATGGATTTTAGAGGAAGATGTAGGTGGATAGGAACTGGCAGGATTCTTAGCTTGTAACTTATGAAACTCTGTTCATAATATGTTCATAAACTATGCTCAGCAGCCAGTTGTAAATATCCATTGAGAACTTAACATTCATCAAATATAAAAGTAGTAAATAGCCAAGGCAATTGATACTGAGAAAACTAACCACAGAGGCAAATGTCCTTATTCTTGAAGAAATGAAGATGTAAATAACTTAAAATATTTGTCTCTTTTAGGAGCAATAAGAAGCTATTAACAGAATGGTTGTACAAAAATTAGGGGTGGAAAACTGATGAATATCATTGATATTTTTGAAGCAGTCTAGTGGCAGTAGGCATCAACTTTCTGTTATTTTGTCCTTCCCTTCTGAAACATGGTCTGGGCAGTGTGGATGATGATGAGGTGATAGCAGCATTCAGCAAGCACTTGCTGTGTCCCATTACTGTAATACGTGTTTTATGTGCATTAATTTGCTTACTCTTCATAGATGTCTTGTGAGGTAGCTGTTATCATTATCCCAGTTTTACTCATGGAGGAACTGAGGCTTTGAGAAGATAAGCAACCTGCCCAGGATAAGGAATTGCCTAAAGGGGGACCTGGATTTGAGCCCAGACATTGTGATTTTACAGCCTTAGCTCTTATCCTAGTCACCAGCATTTTCCAGCCTTTTTCATGCCATGACACCATAAAAAATGATACTGCTTGTGTCCATGCCGGGATAAACAATCTCTCCCTATCCCCATCCTCCCCAAAGGGTGATGGTGGCATCTGAAACCCATCAGCAGCTCTGCCTATGTTACTGTGACTCCCCAGCCGTTACTATTTATTACTCATTTAAGTTGAAGGTAGACTGCAGTGTTTTTAAACATACCTGGCTTTTTTTTTAAAGTCAGTTTAGACAGTGCACGTGAGCTGTGCTGATAATGCAAAGCCATATTTTAGACAATCCTAAATTGAATGCATTTGACTTCGTGGCTAGGGTTGGTTATAGCAGTTGCTCATATTTGTCTAGTTAGAATTAGGTGACAGTGTTTGTAAGCAATGAAAAGTCTGTGGGTATTCAGTATATCATGATTTCATAAGACCAAAAATTCACAGAGACTAATTGTAGGTTCACATAATCAGATTTCTAGTATGTGGCCAGTCTTGTGACGAAGTGTAACTGAATTATTTTCTTCCGTGATGCTTGAGTCAACATGCTTCTGCTCTTACCAGTTTGTGTAAGTGCAGTTTTGAAAATTAAAGAATACCTGTATTTGTGATATATGTAAATCTGTGATAACTTAATAGTACCCCTCTTTTTGGGACCTGATGTTATTACTTCATGGGGAAATGACTTGTTTATTCTTGTTTTCCCATGAGCTTAGTTTAAAGAACATACTCTAGTCAGAAAATCAAAGACTTTTAGATTTTGGTTTTATGACCAAGAGATGAGTAGTCATTTTCCTCATTATGTTTCTGTGCTGGTGACTTCTAATTCTGTGGTTTTCATAATTTTACCAGGTAAATATAATACTTTTTTGATCTACCTTTGTACCTCATTTTACTCATCTATAATATAGAAACATAATAATAGTTCCTACTCTTAATGGTTGGCATGAGGATAAATGCAATAATACATACAAAGTGCTTGGAATAGTTCATCTTTAATAAGTGCACAAAAATGTTAGTGCAGACATCATTGTCATTATCATCATTGTACTGATAATGTAAATTATCAATTTTTTAGTTGCTTTAAACTTTTGTTAGGAAGGAATACTCCTGACATTCCTTATGTTGTGAAGGTATGGCAGTGATGTTTTAACTCCCATGGTGTTATTGTTTTAATATAAACCAACAAGTAGACAAAAATGCCATTTTAAATTGTATTGAGATTGGGGGAAGAGTTCTGGGTCTGGTAAAATTGCATTTTAAAATTTAGAACTGCCCATTTAGAATTGACTAGTATTTGCATTAGAAAGTTAGATAGGCTGGGCAGTGGTTCATGCCTGTAATCCTAGCGCACAGGGAGGCCGAGGCAGGAGGATTGCTTGAGATCAGGAGTTTGAGGCCAGCCTTTGCAAGGGTGAGACCTCATCTCTACAGAAAATAGAAAAATTAGCTGGGCGTGGTGGTGCGCACCTCTACTCCCAGCTACTCAGGAGGCTGAGGCAGGAGGATCACTTGTGCCCAGGAGTTTGAGGTTGCAGGTGAGCTATGATGACATTGCACTCTAGCCTGGGTGACAGCACAAAACTCTGTCTCAAAAAAAAGAAAGAAAGATAAAATTATTTGAAGGTTACAGAATGAGAAAGATTACCATGTAATTTCTGCTTTTCTTCTGTTTATTATCTACTGTATGTTAGGTATTTTGCTGTCTTGGGAATACTAAGGTGGACAATACAAATGCCTAACCCGAGAGATCTTAGTTTATATTTGTCTCTATTTAAGAATTTAATGTGAAACGAGATATATATATGTAAAAACACCGGATAAATAATAGTAAAAGTTGCAGCATTACATCAGTAGCAGAAGAGGTGTCAGTTGAGAATTTGTTTCTTCTGAAAAATGCTTAGAACTGGCCCGGCGCGGTGGCTCACGCCTGTAATCCTAGCTCTCTGGGAGGCCGAGGCGGGCGGATTGTTTGAGCTCAGGAGTTCGAGACCAGCCTGAGCAAGAGTGAGACCCCATCTCTACTAAAATTAGAAAGAAATTAATTGGACAACTAAAAATATATAGAAAAAATTAGCCGGGCATGGTGGCGCATGCCTGTAGTCCCAGCTACGGGGGAGGCTGAGGCAGGAGGATCGCTTGAGCCCAGGAGTTTGAGGTTGCTGTGAGCTAGGATGACGCCATGGCACTCTAGCCCGGGCAACACAGTGAGACTCTGTCTAAAAAAAAAAAAAAAAATAGAACCTGAGGCTATCTCCTAGTACAGCATGGAAACTCAGTTTTTGAAGCTGTCTGTTCTGCTTTAGTTTTTCCTTAATGGCCAGCCACCCTCACTATTTCAGTTCAATTATAATTACGCTTAAAATTCTCAAAACCTTGGGACCAGAAATTCAACCATTGGAAAAATTTTAAGTGCGCACGCACGCGTACCGAAGTTATAAATATATGTAACTCTATATCTCAATGCCTGTTTTCCACATACATCACACTGAATGTTTTGGTTTTCAAAAGAATTTTCAGAGCACTTTGTTAAGGGGTTTATCTCTCTCTATTCCAGGAGAGGAAATTGTTCCTCCCTAAACGAGTTGCATTGAGGCCTATTAGGTCTTTTAAAGCATTTTCATTTAAATCTGTAAATGTGCAA